TCCCAAATGATTATGATTCATCTAATTATTATTTTGCCTATTTAGTTGTCTACCTCTCATTACAAGGTCTCTGATTCATTCCCATGTTCTTCAAATTTAAGTTCTAATTGTTTACTTCTTAAAGAATTTAAAAAAGCATCAGGAATCAAAGTGTCAATACCATACTTAATAGCAGTCTTGACATCTCTTTATGCCTCTGGTATGGCATTAAGGAATATAACTGCCTTAAACTCCTCAGATATCTTATCCTCGGCATTAGTGATATCTTGTACCATGTTATTAAAAGTATCAAGATTATTATCCAAGTCTTCGGATGAATCATTCTAAAAGTAAAAGAACCTTTTTAGGAGGAACAACTTGTTAGGCAGTGACTTAACTAAATAGAGTTCTTCAAGTTTATTCCACAAGGCCTTAGCATTGTCAAATTTTCCAACTTTCCTTAAACACTTGATCAAACAGGTGAAAGATGATGGAGGTATATGCAAATTCATCAGATTCAATTTTCTGATCAGCAGTCATTGTTTCAAGGAATTCACCAATTATAGCCTTAGAGACTTTTTATTAGACTAAAAATGTCCCCATCTTTTATTGCCATATAAGAAAATCCCCCTTCCTATTAAAGACCACGAGTTCAAAACTAGAGAAAGTCATGTTATCAATCAAACTAATCACACTCATAAAAAATAGAGACAAAGTGTCCAATATGCACACAAGACAACAACATTCTTCTAAATAACAGGTAAATACACAGAGTCACGATTATATAAGCTGATTCATATAATACATAGAGATTACACTTAGGTAGGACACACACAGCACGAAAAAATTATGTAAGTGTAAAACTGATAAGTGAATGTGTACAGTTCAGTAATTACGAGTTATTTAGAAATCAGCTGCCCAGCCCTACAGGTTTCGATGAAACTCAAGATCTCAAGTCAAGACAGAGTGATAGGCAGAGGTTTTAGTACAGAATCCTAAAGAAACATGCACAGTACATAATCACAAAAATACTGCAGTCACTGTAAGCACATAGCAGTTTGTCCAAAGGAACTGAAGAGACAATCAATTAATAATTTGTTCAAACTGAAAAATGCTTTACAAAATCATTCAAGGAATGGTAGGCTTTATTAAAAGAAAAATTAGGGTTTGAGAGAGTAAACCGGAGTGGTGGTTGTTGTACTTGACCACCAACAGATCTCATCAAATCATAGTTCACACAACTAGAGATGAACAGATCGCAACGTTGCAAAGATTTTTTTTACCAAGAAGTCTCGAATCTAGGGTTTTTCAGCCCTCAATCTTCTCAAGATCGACCGTATGTTGCAAGAACAAGGTACGATTTTCCTAGAATAACCAATTGAGAGGCTCTGGTACCAATGTTATGTAAAGTATCAAACTAAATAGTCATCAAACTTAAGAAATCTACAAAAATAAAAATGCAAAAGTTCCTTTGTTGCTTTCTCAAGTTACATCCAAGGCATCAAGAATGAAGATGTGACAATAGAGCTCAGACCAAAAATGAATTGTACATGTTTGTGTTACCAAAACCTTAACCCAATCCTCAAGCACATCTGTATTGATTAAATGAGGTCACAAGGATGAATGAACTCACATCACCTCTTTTGAGTACATAAAGTATCAACATTACAGAAAGAATTAAAGAAAAAAAACCATCTTCCAATCAATTGAACATGAAAGAGAGAGGAAGAGTCCTAAAGTATACACAAATGGCGCAAACCCTAAAAATGAAATAATAGGCCAAGAAGGGCGGTATTTATGCACTTGCCTCCAACCATTGAGCAAATTTCAATCTAATGGTCCAAGTGGCTCTTTAAACAAAGAAGAAATTGTGTGAGGCTACAATAATGGAAAGTGCCACGCCTTAAACACGACTTTAACGCAATTAGAATTGGGTAACCGGGCCAGGCCACGCTATTGGGCTATTGCATATTTTAATAGATAATAGTTTTTTGGGCCTTAACCTTATTGTCATTGTCCCAAGAGGTAATTTGACATAACAGTCCAATACTTAACATTAATATGTTTAGTTCTATCATAAAACATAGGATTCTTACTTAAATGAACATTACTTTCGTAATGACGTAACATCCATGTACAGCCTATTTATATTGTACGTTATGCAAATTTTGGGAAAGCCTTTGCTTATTTAGATAATGAAAATTGTTATGAAATGGAGAGGCGAATATGACACAATATGAAGTATATGATCGTAAACAGAAAACAAGATTAAAAGCAAGAAATAGGTTGGCAGATGAACTGAGTATTTTATTCAACAACTAATGGAGAAAATAATATTGTTACAACAATCTCAACAATTCCACTAAATTGGACGAAAAGTATACTATTTATAGGGGACGTGTCAAAACCCTAGAAGTAACCTAAAAGATGAAAGTTAGATCAAAATGCACGTGAAATCGAAAAAAGGAGAAAATATCGGATGATGCTGTCACTCGAGCAGCGTCTAGGGCCAAGCGAGCGACCGCCTTGTTGCTTGAGTGAGAACTCAGCACCACACAGACTATAGCTCTCTGCTCTAAAAGTTCACCTACTACTTGAGTGACTAACTAGCAATAGACTAGCGAAAATGCGATTACTTTATTTTTTCCAATTCATAACTTTGATCTCTTTAAAATCACTTATACTAAAGCTCCAATACCCACTAAAACTTGGGTCAAACTACAACAAAAACTCGAAATAGAATGTTGTTGATATTTTTTTTTTTTTTTTGAAAAAAAAAATCTTTTTACGACTTTATATCTAGTTTCATCTATGTTGAATTCGGAGTTGATTACCTTCATATTTTATTTATCGCTATCGAGTAAATTTAATGAATGCTCACCGAACTTTACTTCATATTACTACTTGCTCACCCAACTTAACTTGATTACCCATTGCTCACCTATCTATCCAATACCTTACCCGTCCATCATGCGTCTCATCTCCCTCACATTCACTTAACGGAAAGCGCCACGTAGCGGACGGAATCTGACGTGGCACATAACGGAAAGCCAACTGGGCCAAAAACAAAAAAAAAAAAAAATGGCAATTTCATTTCTCTGTTGAACATGTAAAACACATTTTTCTCTAAAAAAGAATTCACTTTCGCTAAGCACAATGGGAAGTGAGGAACCCTCATTTACGTTCATATGTATCAAGTTCTACCAAATCCAAAGTTCCCCCCAATTTTTCTGTCTTCCCCTCATGTTGCAGCTGTAAATATAGAAAATATAGAAAATCCATTCAGCCTTCTCTCAAGATTCAGAGTGAAATCAAGATTTAGGGAAAATATATAATTCACTACACTATTGAGTGTGTTGTGGAATCAAGATTTAAAGTATCCCCCAATTTCTCCCCTCTCTCAACGAAATTTCTCTCTGATACAAATATTGCAGATATCCTTTTGGGCTGATTACATATGATATTAGTACAGTGCTTCTCGCATATTTTAATTAGAATATCGACACTGAAAATTGAAATTCAAGATTTCAGCTCGTAAATTAGAGCTTCTTCTTCCTCCTCCTCTGATTTCTTCTTCACTTTTCTGGTTGTTCTACTCCTTCTCTTTCCCCAGCCATTCCTTCTATAACAGGATTCGGGGGTGGTTCGAGTTTCTTCATGGCTTCCTTTTTGGGACTGGGCGATTTGTAGGGTTCTTCATGGATTTGGGGGTGATTTAAGTTTCTTTTTGACTTCCTTTTTGGGACTACAGAAGCATAGTACCAATTGACGTGTTTTTCCCCTCAGTTTTGGCCCAGTTGACTTTCCGTTATATGCCACGTCAGATTTCCATCCGCCATGTGGCACTTTCCATTAAGTGAATGTAATGGAGATGATATGGGTGATGGATGGGTAAGGTATTGGATAGATGGGTGAGCAACGGGTAATGAAGTAAAGTTCGATGAGAAAGTAGTAATATATAGTAAAGTTTGATGAGCATTCATTAAATTTACTTTATCGCTATCTATCAGCTATTACTACACCATTGACCATTGTAGCATAGTCAATTATTATAGCGTCCCAAATTAAATATGTCAATGTTTCGAAACTTGACAAGTTAGAGATGACCAAAAAATCTGTTTATTCTTCAACGTGTCTTTCTTTAAAATTAATCAAGTTGAGATAACTCATATGAAAATGGGTGAGGTGCTGACGTAGAAAGTATTAAAATGAAAAACAAAAGTTATTCGGAAAGAAGAAATCCAAATCCAACGGTGCAGAATCTTCCTATGCCAAAAAGCCGCGGAAATACGGAGCCGCACCAACACAAATTTGGCCCACTCCACCAAACATATTAAGGTGTGTTTGGTTTCTCTCATAAACATTCTCATGGTAAAAATAAATTAATAGAACTCAAAATTAAAAATGGAAGAAATTTGAAAAACTTGTCAAGGAAGAAGAACAAATAGGTAAATTGAATGATAGGGATTCTGTAAGTAAATTAACATGGCTGAAGTGAATGTATGATGATTTTGTTGGAGGGTCTCAAAGTCGTGAATAGCGGTTAAACTATTTTAATACTGAATAACGCGACTCATGGACCTGTTGCACACTTAATGCTGTCCTTTTAAGGCCTCCGAATCTCACTTGTTTGTCGTGATGTAAAATGGTGAAGCACATATCCTAGTGAAAAGAATAGTGTTATTTGTAAGTAGTCAACTTTCAATCAGGATTCTAAATCACAGTAAATCATTGCACTTTCTATAATGAATTAAAATGCATCCCAAATTTATAAAAGAACGTGTTAGTTATCATCGCATAACTCTTGATTAGTAATGACTGTTAACTAATTAAGTAATGTTATTTGTAATTGTTCACTAGTCAGTCACATGTATGTCACGTAAAACGACTATGATAGTAAGCGAATGCAAATGAAAAAGGCTCTTTTTGCTTTTCAGAATTTCCATCCCTTTTACCAAACAAGACCTTATTAAAACTCGACCACATTTAACTTTTTATCAATCCTACACGAAACGCACCTCACCCACTAAACCAGTAGTTCTATAATCAACACCAACTCTCTCTCTCTATCTCTCTCTCTCTCTCCCCTTAGAGTTCAAGAAATCTGAGGGCTGAAAATTTTACAGAGGAAAAATTCCCATTTTGAAAAATGAGCTGCAATGGCTGCAGAGTACTTCGAAGAGGATGCAGTGAGGAATGCATTCTAAGGCCGTGTTTGGATTGGATTGGAAGTCCCGATGCACAAGGCAATGCCACCTTCTTCGTTTCCAAGTTCTTTGGCCGCAGCGATCTCATGGCTTTCATTTCCGCCGCCCCGCAAAACAAAAGAACAGGTAATTGATTCAACAAAAACCCAGATAGAAAGATGATTAACAATTTTGATAGCATGTGGTGTTTTGTTTTGTTTTTTTTTTTTTTAATAATTATTTTGACTTTTTTTGTACAGCTTTGTTTCAATCTTTGCTGTTTGAGGCATGTGGGCGGACAGTGAACCCGGTGAACGGTGCTGTAGGACTGTTATCCACCGGAAACTGGCACGTCTGTCAGGCGGCGGTAGAAACGGTGCTCGGCGGAGGCACTCTGCAGCCAATCGCCATGCCACCAAACACCGGTGACGTATCGGAAGCATTCCGCATGGGCGGCGCGTGGAGTAATGCCAAAATTGGAGCCGGCGGTAGCACTCTGATGACGGATGAGAATGCAGCATCGTTTCAGTCCGGAATATCGGAATTGTTGTCGGGTTTTGGTAGAAAAGAGCCAAAACTTTTGAACCTTTTTGTGTAATTAGGGAACTAATTTTGGTACAATTAACTTTTGTGGAGTCGAATGAAATATGAATCTGCAAATGTAATGATGGGAGATTTTCGTCGTACAAAAATGTAACTCTTGTGAGTTGTAAGAGAGTACTTTTGATTAATCTAAATAAATAACCTATTTTAAGGGATAAAAAATAATTTTTTTTAAAAAAAATGATGTTTTTTAAATTGTATGCTATGCGTTTGGGAAAAAAATAACAATTTTGAGCTTCAAACCTTGGTATCCGTACAATTGATCCATGTGATCGTGAGATTACTAACACATTGTCTAACATTTAAAAAGACTTAGAACTTCAATAAACAATGTAACAGTAGGATTTATCATATGAATCTGTTATCACCTTGGTATCCGTACAATTGATCTATGTGATCGTGAGATTACTAACACATTGTCTAACATTTAAAAAGACTTAGAACTTCAATAAACAATGTAACAGTAATCCCATTATCATATGAATCTGTTATCATCTAAACTCTAAATGAATAAGATTAATTTTCTTAGACATCATTCTTGTGACAGTGGTTATTTTGTAAAAAATATTCTTCCCTTAAAATGTAATTTTGTCGATTGATTCAAATGATGATGAAATGTTGCTTTATGTGAATGAACACTTCATTCTATCATAACACAATTACCGGACACTGAAAGGAACAAATTTATTTTAAAGAGAGAATGTTAGCTCCAAATCATCGTTTAAACCTAAAAATGATAATTTAAACTTGCAGAAAATTAAAGAATCAACACAAGAAACAAAAACCAACTAATGAATCCGAATGTTCAAGTTCCTCTAAATGCTACTCATCTGTTGAACATCTATAAACTAAATTAAACTCTGATACTAGAAATGAATGATTAATCTTACAATACAAATATAAAAATAAAAAAAATTATAGATTTCTTAAAGTCATATTTGAGTCGCATTCTTTTAAAAAAATACATTTCTAAACAGTAATTTGACGTCATTTTAATCACACATTATTCAATAAAATAATATTATACGCAAATTCAAAACTTTCTCTTATTTTTTAACCACATATTCTCTATTAATTCATTATTCCAAAATACATTCTTTCAAAATAATATGACTCAAACGCGCTCATCTCTCTAGTGGAGGGGTTTTCGGCAATTTTAGAGATATACATCTCTATTTTACACCAATATTGAAGATGTTCGTAGATAACATGCATAGTAACAATAAGTAGAAAGTTGGAACAAGATAATGAGATTATGATGCATATATACTATAATGTTTACGGTAGAATTAGAAAAGAGCAAATATAAACCAATGATTTGATATTATCTACATAGATACTGAAAATGACATGTATGGTCAGGCTTGCAAATAAATGTCCCGTCACTAAAATAAAAGAGCTGAAGAGTCCATATCGTACTTTATTTCAAGCATTAAGGGGAATCTTATCTCCTAATTTCTCTTATAAATGAATTTTTGGTTCCATTGATGAATAGCAAGCAATAAGCATTGAAGAAGATCGATTTTGAGTAGAAGAAATTCCAGTCTTTTTGGCCAAATAAAAATAAATAAATTAGTTCCCCTTCGCCACGGCAAAGTTAATTAGCTTTTATAAGACAAGTGATGACAAATTTTCTTCTTGAACTTTCTTCAACATTAGTATTATTTTTTATTATTGAATGATCTATTTTCTTATACTCTTACATTTATTATTGATTCAGTTGGTTCTATTTAGACGATTATGGTGAGTTATTTCAGAAGGAGAAATTTTGATAATTTTCTTGTTGAATTCCACGATTATGACACATATGTAGATTGTTGACAAATTTTATCATAAAAGATACCTATAACTCTGTGAGTCTGTTTGATTGCAAGAATAGAATTTTTGTGCAATCAAACAGGGCTTAATTGTTGCTTATTAGAAAAGCAAAATAATGCGCACATTTTATATTCATAATTGTTTGGATGGAAAGAAGATTAATAGCAAGTTTGGCTGCGCATATAAGCTCAAATCATATCCAAACGTGCGGCTTAAATCATATGATGACTTCTTTTTCAGCACAAATGAAAATAAGCAATAAGCTTGACCATCCAACTTATTCAAAATTGTTTTACCAAGTGTGTCATTACACTTCATTATCTTAATTCAGTTAATATCCACCTATTTTAGTGCGATTACATTAATTATGATAAAAACTCAAATTTGTATGCAATTGGCACGAAAGGGTAAATTTTAGCTAATTTGGGGTTGGTTCCAAGCAATTAAAGATAATCGAATAGCACAAAGTGATTACAAGTAAGAGAAAGAGCTATCAAAAGAATATCGCAAGTTGGGGGAGAAATTCAACTTTTGAAAAGTTTGGGGAATTGCACACTTTGGAACTTGAGGCGGACTAATTTCGAATGATTATTAATTTTCAGTCCCAATTTGGAAAATTTTGAAAGTTTCCTCTCACAATAAAGCTTAAGATTAAAAAGATCAAAATTAGATAAAAACTTGAAGAAAAGATCAAGATTATATATATATAAGAGAGAGAGAGAGAGAGAGAGACACACACACACACACAAACAAGTGTCAAAGGTTCACCTAGTGGTATCAACTCTGTTTTGAACAACAATCTAAACTCCAAATTGTTCCCATTGTTGGGATAGCATAACGGTAAGCCTACTCTTGCTATTTACAAATCACTGCAGCCTGCTATAAAAAACATTCGATCTATTTACAAGTATCAAAAGTTATCCACACCGTCTTATTTACTCCCAAAATAGGAGGTTATATTCAACGTGTCAAGGATTCAGTAACAGAGGCAAATACTAAGCGCCAGCTCCATAATACATTTGACATTAAATAACAAAAGGGAGAAAAATTAATCTATATGCAGGTTTACATTATAAACAGCATATGATATGCTTCAAAAACATGTGATTACCCTTACAAGATAATATGCTGATTACTTTTTAAGTCTTCAACATACAACATTCAGAGAACAAAAGCATAAAAAACTCACTGCATATGGGTATGTTCACATACCACGGCAAGGAAATGAAGCATGCTTTGCCCATCGAAGGATGTTCCAAAAGGGCTCCTTTTTCCTTCTAGTGAGATCTGTCTCATTTCTCTTCAGCATATTCCACAAGATGTGGACATCTTCGTACTCACATGTCCTAATATCTTGGTGAAGCTTTACTAGCCCTGAAATATTCGAGAAATTTGATTTCACATGGTAGTTCAATGTTCCAACCTTCACATTTGGACCATAAACAATGAAAGCTTGGAACAAATCAACATATGACCACCACATAGATGATGTGTATGATGACTAAATTTAAATAAGTAAACGTATACTCTATTTAATTTAATAGTTTGAGTCACTGGATGAGGTGGTTTGACAAGATGAATGTTTGTCTAATATCAAGATTTCCAAAAGAGTAAATGCTTCTGGTAATAAATTTTCACTACCAAAATATACTAAGTGTGAACCACCTCTGATGGAAATTTTATCTTCTTATTGATAACTAAACGTCAATTGCTTAATAGAGAATAAAGAATGTTTGATAAAAAAACAAAGATAACAAGCCTTATCTAAGTCTATATGAAAAGATATGTCATCATTTCATCAAATTTAGCCTGCATATTAACAGCACAAGAAGATGTACCACAAGTGCCTTCCTTGACAGTATCATGAACTTAATCCATATGGACAGGTAACTCTATTTGACTACTTAACTAATTGATTATGTAACAATAACATAGCAAACTAAACATTGTTTCAAATAAATTTGAATCAACTAATTGAAACTTTTTCCTCCCACCGCCTTTAACAAATTAATGCTCTAAAAAGATTAGGGTTCTAGATAGTGGTGGATCTAGTGCCTGACGAGCACCAACGGCCACACGTGCTGGATCTGTTGATAACAATTTTTCCTTTTTTTTGACAATAAATAAAAGTTTTAGGTTAAATGGAGCACCAGGGATTGAATCTCTTTTAAACCAATTTATTGTCAACAACCGTCCATGCTCACTCAAAATTCTGGATCCATTTTAGAATCCCCTTGTATTACATATTATTATAAGATGAGACCCACGCGAATGATTAATTACAATATTCCCAATAAACAACCATTCTGATATTTCCAATAGTTTAATCAAAACAAATCATAAAAAATACAGTGTAAGCATATCAATGGAGCACAAAACAACAATTGGGAATCAAATCTTAAGGAAAATAAAAAGATAAGCAACCAACAAATAACTCCGAGTTGTGAAAATTAACCATTTTTGCGATAACCGAGACGGTAAGAGAAGTTGGTCCAAACTTTTTGCATTGGAACTATCATTTGGCCCCACCACTTCATCTTCATTTCGAATATAATCGGTCTTAATTATAAACAATCATAAAAAGGGGGGAAAATCAGAACGACAATAGATCAGAACGTGAAAACGAAACGGAAAAAGAATCAACTCATATATCTGCACGTACCTCTGCCGGTGTATATGAATGAGCTGATTGAAGAGAAATCACGATCGGAGAGAGTTACGAAAACGTTTAGTTTCTCTCCCTTCAGAGCAAGGAGAGGAGGGAGGGGAAGATTTATGCCCCTGAATTGCTCAAAGATCAACGTTCTAATTTGTTGTTGACGTCATAATGAGACACGTGTCAAATATTACCGTTTGGACCGCGTGGGCGTGCGTTTCAACTAACTGAAAAATACCTCGGAGCCGAATACACGTGGGAGATTTTGGTTGGAGAAATTTTATAGGATTCTCGAATTTTAATTTTGAGTGGACCCGGTTTTATATGAGGTCCTAAATTTAATTGAAGGCATCTTATAAGTTGAATCATTGATAGATATTTGAAATTGATGTTTTAAAATGTTGGGAGCATATTTGAATTCTCTAACTTGTTTTAATTCTCAAAGCACTGGGGCCGTTTGAGTCCCATTTTTTCCGATCCTCGAAATGCATTTTAGAATAGTATTTTAATAAAAAATACGTGGTTAAAAAAAATGAAAAGTCCTGAGTTTGTGTGTGATATTATTTCATTAAAAAAATGTGTGATTAACAATAAGAGAGAAAAAAATGTATTTTGAAAATAATGAGAACCATACACAGTCTGGAATTATGAGCATAGAATAGGGGTTAAATGACATGGGTCACTCAATTTTAAAGAGAGTTTTATTTAGGTCACTTGTCTTGAATTTTGTACAATCAGATCTCCTAATATCGATTTGCTTGAAACTTTAGCCCATGTTTCTACCATTATTCAATGAAAATGAGTTTTAAAAAAGTGAATTTTTTTATAAACGTGCGTTTAAAAGGAAGGAAAAGTTTTGTATTTATGTGTAAAATATTTTATTATAAGATGTGTGGCTGAAAACGAGTTTAAGAAAAAAGAGTTTTGAAATAATGATAGATAAACATGGGCTTAGTCTTTTTTATCCATTGTCACGAGTTTAACTTACCTAATACGTTGACATGGACCCGAAACTAAATCGGGTTGACGCGTAAGAACATATTTATAGTTCGTAACTTTTTTAAGAATATTCTTTTTAAGATGGGTTGTGTTCATTGTTGAGTGACATAAACATGCATATTAACTATCTCTTAGTTTCAACATCTATGTCAGCATATTATGTTAGTTAATTGAATGGCGATGGACAAAATTATCATATTCTCAAGTAAATCGAAGTTAGACGTCTTGATTACATTAAATTAAAGACGAGTGACCATAAATGTAGTCAAATCGAAGTTTGGTTGATCTGATTACATCAAATTTGAATATAAGTGACCGAAAGCGAAATTTTAACAAGATTAGGTGACCCATTAAACTTTGTAGATATATCTAGGTTTTAGGAAAAATGAAAACAATATACAATAATTCTGTAAGTACAGGAAATTTACACAGAAGCTGTACAGGATTTTAAGAAATGTGACCGGTCAATTCTTTAACCAAGGTAGATGAAAAACAAAATGAATTAGGATTATGCCACATAATTTATTTTGAATTTCTGTACAGCTCCTGTGAAGAATTTCCTGTACGTATAGCAGGATTAAAACAATATTGATTGTTAGTGATATGTAGTGAACATGAGGCTTTTTTTCTTTCTTTCTTTCTTTCCTTTTTTTTTTTTTTTGTGTGCGTCTATTTTGCAAGTTTAAAATTTATTATTGAGCTCATTTTGTTGTAGTGAACACGAGTTAATTCCGTGCTTTCTAGTAAATTGTACAATTTTAAAACTTATTCTTGGATTCCTTAGGTTGAAGATATAAAACTAATTCCATAACATAGTATGTGATTCTCTAAAAAATTCATTACATGATGTATTGTGCTTTGCAAAGATATAGAATGATTATAAAGAATAATCTCTATGATATATATATTTTTTAATTGTGTGGGATTATTTTTCTTTAGTAGTTGATTGTTTGATAATCACACAATCTTTCTTTTTAGATTTATTTAAAAATGGTCTTCTACTTTATAATCGAAATAAATGTTTATCATATATAATTTATAATATTTTAATATGGTATTAGAGCGAGTTTAATTTTATTTTGGGTTAACCTTGCAAGCTTATGCTCTTCAACGGCCTCGTGCTGCTCGTCTGGTCAGATATTTTTGTTTTGATTAGAGATTCTTGTCCGTCAAATTCTTTTTCCTTCTTTTCTATTCATATTTTGTTCAATAAAAAAAATTAAAATTTGTTCTTGATTAAATCTGAATATGAATTTCAAATTAATTCAAATCACGTTAGATATTGGCTATTCTTGTTGCTTCATTCTTGGAGAAAGTTGGTTTCCAAGGAAATCGGGAATTGCTTTTGAACTTTATTAAATCCATCGATGTTAGAATTTTTTTGAAGAAAATCATTCCATCGAATTTATTTCCATCACTTATGTTAATTTCGCTTCCTCATCGCCAGGGTTCCTATTTTATTTGCCTTTCCTTCATCTGTTAGTGTAATACTGATACTACACATGGACTTTCGAAGTGCTACTATTAACACATGTTCCATCCTTGACCCGTCTATTTAATACTTAATAAAACCGTTTGAGATTCTTGTGCGTTATATTGGTGGGTGTCTCTTTCAAATCTTGATGATTGCTTGGTTAGATTGGTGAATGGTGATTTTTTTTAATCAACTTTGAGTTCTTTTTTTGGCTTGATTAGCATGCATGCAAGTTTGAAGTATCATTCGATCTTTGGAAGAAGAAGATTTGATTGGATCAATTTAAATTTTAAACTCAATATAATTTGATTTTCACTATACCATTTTGAGTTTGAGGAAGGGTGTTGAAGATATATAAAGATTGTAATGAATCATCTCTACGATATTTTCGCAATTGTGTGAGATTATTTTTCTTAATAGTTAATTGTGTTTATCACACAATCTTTTGATGTCTAGAGCAGTAAATTTTGGAAAGTATTCGATGATCGATTCGATAAGCACTCTAAATTATGGATTATATTAACTTGTTTTTAGTTTCTATTTTTTCCTTACAATAATTTTAATTTTAATTGTAATTTTTTCTTGGGATTGTATCGAAATATTAACTGTTTTCTACACCAATGAAATTTTATTGTGAGTTAAATAACCTATGGATTTTATTTATACGATTTTTTATTTCTCAAATATGTTGTAAAAAGTAACATCGTACTTTACTTCTAATTAATATAGGTATTTTGGTTATATATATATAACTTATTTGTTCAGTATATTTAAAACCATTAGGACGAAACTACTCTTTAATGTTTGAATCATTTAATTCTACTGCTGCTTTTACTATCATCATACTTGCTCAATGATATGCACATATGTTTTTCAATATTTTTAATTTAATCTTCTATATGGAGCTAAAAGAATATACTATTTCTTTGATCAACTGAGAAAGATTAATTAGCCAAAATCATTTAGAGTGTCTTTCGTACTTTTTATATTTATATTTTATTTAAATTATATATATTTTTATTGATTTCAAATTTGTCGATAAAATGCTTCAGAAATAGCATTTTGAATATTAAATCATCGTCGAGTTTGTGCAATACTTCTTAATATCATTTAAGAAGTGTAAAAATTCTAAAAAATGTACCTTCTTAGCCCCATGTATTATCATGGCCAACTATTTGTTTCACTATATAATTGTTAGTTTATAGAGAAAGTGAGATTTTTTTTTTTTACATGACAAATTAGTCCGAAAATACATGCCTTGTTTGAAGAGTTGCAGCCCTATTTACATCAAATTTCAAAAAAATGTTATAAATTTTAATAGCATTGTGTAAACTTACAACTAAAACTTTTTTACGACATCGTATGGTGAACACTACGACAAATATTTATGCAATAAAATGAAGATAGTTACAAATTTAGAATTCAAATCAAGTATGTCACTTTATAAATGAAATAGTGTTGATACTCTAAAAAGGAGTGTGCTATGTGTACATAAAAAATTGTACATAATGCTGTCCCCCACTCACATGGGTAGGGTCCACCTGAATATAAATATAGAAGTGGACCCCGCTCATGTGAGTTAGGGGACACCATTATGTACAATTTTTTATGTACAACAAGAATTATTCTTCTAAAAATTATAACAAAACAGATTTTATTTTATTTTTTTTCCAAATTTTGTTTTCTTTTATGTAACTAGAAGAATATGTTCTTCGAATTGATGCTCGGACGAAGATGTAAAAAATATGTACAAATGAGGATGTTACGAATGCGAGTCAGCTAAAGAATAAATTGAGGTGGAAAGAATGTTAATTTTTAACACATTAAACTTTGACTATGCTTTTATCGTGTTTTATGCTTATGTGAATTCTTCTTCTTTTTTACTTTTGTTTGTATTTCTATTTAGTTTTGGAGAACATCAATAGTAGAATGCAGATTTTATTTTTTAAATTTTATTGTTATAAACTTCAAACTAGACTCTTATTTAATTCAATATTGCTACATGCTTGAAAACTTCCTTAGTGTTAGCAACATCATGCAACTTGGCAACATAAATGATGAGAATCAAATGAGTGATAAGGAGATCAGAAAATTTCGAGTGATATAATTGTGAAGTCACACATAATTTTGAATAATCAAGAAAGAGTTGGGGTCAACAAATTCAAATCAAAGGATAGTCCAAGTGTATCGATAGAGTTAATCAAGTAACAGAGTCCTATAAAAATGCAGAGTTAGTTTGTTATTTGATAATTGTTATTTTGGATAGAAACTAACAACAAAAATAGTGGAAAGTTATTAATTTTATATTATTATAAATTAGAATCAATATTTGCTAGGTGTTCATAGTCCATGATCAGCATTCAATAAACTTTTAAACATTTTATTTATACATTTAAAGTCTTCTTTTTCATATTTCTTCTTACAGCAATATATGATAGATATGTATGTCAAAATCCAATCATCTAGATTAATTGATTATCATAATAAAAAATAGTTACAAGTTGAATCATATCGAGGTATCATTGATAGTCTTGAACATGGAGAAAATGCAATAGTAAAATAAGTCACGCAGCTATCTTGCCTCGGTCTTTTGTTCTTAGTCCCAGAGATGTGAGGAAAATATATATATATATATGACTTCAAATAAGAATTGCTAAGAAATTAAGACCATTGGAAATACAATGAT